GAAGGGGGCCTGGGCAGAGGTGAGCCCTGAGAAAGGCCAGTCCATTTCACAGAAGGGGAAGGGGGCCTGGGCAGAGGTGAGCCCTGAGAAAGGCCGGTCTATTTCACAGAGGGGGAAGGGGGCCTGGGCAGAGGTGAGCCCTGAGAAAGGCCAGTCTATTTTATAGAAGGGGAAGGAGAGCCTGTGCAGAGGTGAGCCCTGAGAAAGGCCAGTCCATTTCACAGAGGGGGACGGGGGCCTGGGCAGAGGCAGTCTGCTCACCTGCTGCAGCTGCAGCAGCTCCAAGGAGTCAGTGTGAAGATCAATGGAAGGGTTGATAGCACACACCATGAACGCCACCTCCATCTTGCGGTCACAACGCATGTATGATCCTTTTAGGTACAGCCAGCTCTTGAAAGGCACAAAAGTAGACATCTCAGGATATCCTACCCTGAGCCTGTTCTAGGGAATGGCAATTTGAATCTGCCTTCCCCTTGATACATACACACAGACGGTTGATGGGATGAGAGGTACGTGGCCAGGGAAGAAAGGGAGAGATTGGGGGGATACAATACCCGCTCGGCCACGCCAGCATTGACTGTCTGGCCCCTCCGATCTTCGTTGCCTTTGCCATGCCAGGTGACCTCAGCCGTCTGCTCCCCATTGGGCCCAAACACCACCCAAGCATGATCCTCAGACAGGGCCAGATGGACATCACGGAGACCCAAGGCCTGGCAGGCCCCCACCACTGCAAAGGCCACGCCCGAGCTGTCCAGTTTAGTGCCTGTAGAGAAGGACAGGAGTGAGAGCTCTGGCCTGGAAGAAGGGGGCCATGCCCCCCCAAACACCTCTCAAGCCTGTGTCCAAGCCTCACAAGCTCCTACCCATCATACTCCCCCTCTCTTCTATGCTCAGGACCTCTCCCATCAACCCAACCCCAGCAGGAGACCTTCCTGGATCTCAGCTCCACCCAGCCACAAACTGTCCCTCTCTTTTTACATGCCGTACTTCTGTTAACATAATGATTTAACCCAGTATCTTACTGTCCACCTATTAGACTGTAACAGGGAGAACAACCCATGACTCTCGAACCCCCGACTCGCCCACACCCTGCGCCCACGCCTTGACTAACATCTCTACACTTCTTTTCTGCTAAGCTCAGAAATAGCATCCGATTCTTGCTCAATACCATGCACCAGGAGCTGAAGCACTTTGCAAGTCCTAAGCCTTCTTGAGGTCAAGTCTGTGTTTCTTTTCAAAATATTTTCATAGGCATCATGTCACTTAATTGTCTCAAATGTATCCATCCCTTTGTCCTACTTCCCCTATCTGCTGTCACCCTCTTTCCCCATATGCTGGGCCACCGGATCCCTGTGGCTCATCAGGGGCAGGGTTGGGGGTGCTGAAGGAGTAGAGGGTAAGATCTGATACCAAACTATCAGGTTCCAGTGCCAGCCCCTGTCATTCGGACATTGGAATAATCATTTCCCCTCTTCGGGAGTCTATCTCCACAGCTGCAAAGGAGAAAGAATCCCTGCCCCACTACACAAGGTTTACAGGTCTCAAATGGGCTGTAAACCATATTGTTCTGACAACGAGAAGAGGTAAGCCAACATTCGTTTGCTCCCCTGACCACCTGTCTGACTCCAACCTGTGATGAAGCTGAAGAGGGACTGGATGTGGGCTCGGTCCTTGAAGTAGGAGCGGCTGAGGCTGTTCCATATGACATCGGAGACCTTTTTTACCAGTTCCCGACTGGAAACGCCCCCCTCTCGAGGGTAGAGGGAGAGGTCGACAGCGCCGCGGATCTGGGCGGTGAATCGGGCATAGAGGGCAGCAATGATGGAGAGGTCGGCCACCGGGAAGTAGGTGAGGCCGCCAGGAGGGTCGGGTGCGGGGCTGGGCTGGAAGGTGAGCTCGGGCACGTTGGTGGGGATGACACGGTTGACAGCCAGGAAATGCTCCACGAATCCCAAGACCAAAGAGAGGAGCACCAGGTCAGGCTCCTCTCGGCCCAGCTCCGCGGCGAACAGGCGCACCACGTCGTCGATGGAGCGCAGAGGGAACAGTGTCTTCTGGGCGGCCTTCAGCCCCATGGCGGCGGGCGGTGGCCTGCGGGCGAGCCGAGGGAGGGAGGGTCGGGCTCGGCGGGGGAGCCCCCTCCCAGGCTCGGCGAAGGCTCTACCCTCCGCCACAATTCTGCTTCGCCAGCCGCTTCGTCCTGCGCGCACGGGCGGCGGCTCGGTCGCTGAGACCCTTCAACCACGGCTGCGGGGCCTTCTTGCTCCTTACGATCCCGGGACCCCCAGCCCCGATGAGGCTGCGTCCCAGAGACCTCTCTGGGGACCCTCAAAGGTCACCCCTCCCGGTCCCTGTGGCCTCTACCCGGCCCTCTGGAGCCTGTCCAGAAGGCAAACCCAAACCAGCCTCCCGCGAGTCCCAAGGAGAGTCCTGGCCTCGGTCCCCCGAGCCCACCTCCGCGCTTACATCCCACACAAGGCACCGCGGGGCCCGCCGCCTGGTGCCTGCTGGGAAATGAAGTCCCGCGCCTCCTCTGGCCGCAGCGCCTGCCGGGAAAGAGGAGTCCTTCCACGCCCCGCCCTCGCCAAGTCTGGGAAAAGATAAGAGAGTCAAGCCCGCAGTGGCTTATGGGAGAGGTAGTCTCACTGCTCCAGGGCGGGTAGGCTGAGATAACGCGCTACCTTCCTGAACTCCTCAGCTATTGGTCATTTTTATGGTCACGTAACCCAGAGGTTCCGCAGTGCCACCTGGGAGATTGTAGTCCTGAGTCTAAACGCGCTAAGGCTACGGTGGCGCTGCTGCCGTGTATACTATGGCCAGTTTGCAAGATGTGAGGGAAACTTGTGCTTTAAAATACTACAAGGGTGCTGGAGACCTGGCTAGGTTGTTGAGGGCACCAGTTGCTCTTGCAAAGGACCTGGTTCAAGTCCCAGTACCCACATTGTGGCTCACCATCTGTAACTGCAGCTCCAGAGAATCCATGCCCTCCTCTGTCCCCCCCACCCAGCGCCGACATGGTGCACAAACATAAAATCTTGCAGACAAAACATTGACACTAAAAAGACTTGCACAGTTGGACACATCAAGACAGAGACAGAAGGATCTTGGTGAGTTCAAGGCCAGTCTGGTCTTTATGCTAGCCAGGTATGATGCAATACCAGCCCTTGGGAATTAGAGGCCAGAAAATCAGGGTGTACTGCAGAGATCATTCAGAGTTAAGAGCATTGGCTGCTCTTGTAGAGGACTCTGGGTTCTCAGCAGGAACATGTCAGCCCGCAATTGGGTCTTTAACCCAGTTCCAGGGATCCAGTGTTTTCTGTTGACCTTTGCAGGCTTCAGGCAGGCACCTTGTGCACACACATATGTGAAATAAAATTTAGAGGGGGAGGAAAGGAGTTCAGGGTCAGTCTTACTTTAGACAGGCTCTTGCTTTTCAGACTGACCACACACTCAGTGCTCCTGCCTCAGCCTCCACTGTGCTGGTGTTATAGGTGTACACTGCCTGTTCACATGGCACAAAATCCTCATCTTCATGGCCTCATCTTAACCAATGACATCTGCAGTGACTCTGTTTCCAAAATGAAGTCTCTGTCTGAGACTAAGACTTCAGTATGTGGGGCTGAGGAAATGGTTTATCAGGGAAGAGCACTTTGCTGTACAGCATGAAGACCTGAGTTCAATCCCCAGAATTCACTTACATATCTGGAATCCTAGCACTGTGGGGCAGGATCGGGGATTGGGGGGTGAGGGTGGAGGTTACAGACAGGGGATCCATGGGGCTTCCTGCCTGCCAACCTAGCTTCAGGTTCAGCAAGAAAGCCTGTGTGAAGGGGATGGGAGAGAGAGTGCCAGAGCAGGGTACTTGGGATGTTTCTGCTTTCTGAATCTGAACAGGTCCTTGCTCGGGCGCAAAGACATCACACGTACACAGAGACACAAGCTTTGTTGTGTTTTGTTTTTTGAGACAGCATTTCTCTGTGTAACAGCCCTGGCTGTCCTGGAACTTACTCTGTAGACTAGGCTGGCCTCAAACTCACAGAGATCCAGCTCTGCCTCCCAAAGTGCTGGGATTAAATGTGTGCACCACCACTTGGCCTTATTTTGCTTTTTAAAAAGATTTATTTTATTGTATTTTATTATTTTTTATTTTTTTGGTTTTTTGAGACAGGGTTTCTCTGTGTAGCTTTGAGCCTTTCCTGGAACTCGCTTTGTAGCCCAGGCTGGCCTCCAACTCACAGAGATCCACCTGCCTCTGCCTCCCGAGTGCTGGAATTAAAGGCGTGCGCCACCACCGCCTGGCTCATTTTATAATTTCTAATCTGTGTGTGTGTGTGTGTGTGTGTGTGTGTGTGTGTGTGTAAGTATGTGCACATGAGTAGAGTGCTGCATGAGCCATAGGCCACCAGATCCCCTGAGCTGGGGTTACAAGCAGCTCTGAGTCTCCCGTGGGTGCTAGGAATTGAAGTTGGGTCTTTTTTTCTTTTTTTTTTCTTTTAAAGATTTATTTATTTATTATGTATACAGTGTTCTGCCTGCACATTTGTCTGTAGGCCAGAAGAGGGCGCCAGATCTCATTACAGATGGCTGTGAGCCACCATGTGGTTGCTGGGAATTGAACTCAGGACCTCTGGAAGAACAGCCAGTGCTCTTAACTGCTGAGCCATCTCTCCAGCCCCCGAAGTTGGGTCTTTTAAAAGACCGTACTATTAATGACTGAGCTATCTCTCTAGCCCCTTAGTAAGCTTTTTGAGACGAGGTTTCACTACTTTAGTAGGACTAGTCCTCTGACCTCCGACCTCAAACTTGCTAGGTACTTGAAGATGTCCTTAAACTCCTGATCCTCCAGCCTTTACCTAGAATTTGCCACCACAGCCAGTCTTAGAATAACTCCACATTGCCACAAAAGGTCATTTAGCTGTTCTGTCTGACAGATTCGGTAAACCAGTCACATCGGAGTCCTGGAAATAACAAGGGTTGAGCACAGAAACCGGCTTTCCCAGACTGCGTTTGTCTGTCTTCTGTAGTGGGCGCCTGTAGTCTCCTCTACAACGTTAACACTAGGTGGCGCTCTGAACCCAGGTTTGTACTGAGTCTGCTGTGGACTTCAAGTCAAAATATCCTTAGTGGCAGGGAGTTGGTAGTTTGGGGAGGTGTAGCTGCTTGTGAGTGGCCCGTGCTCTTGAAAGTTACTTCATACAGCTTTTTTATTTTCGTGGTACCTCCCAGGCTGTCGACTAGGATGCGGCTAAATATCTCCTTCCCAGGCACTAGCTGTCAGAAAATCATTGAAGCAGATGATAAATGCGAACTTTGTACTTTCTATGAGAGGCTTACGGGGTCAAAAGTAGCTGCTGATGCTCTGGGTGATGAGTGTAAGGGTTTTGCCTTCGAATTAGTGGTGAGAATGATAAACAAGATTTTCCCATGAAGCAAGATGTCTTAACTGGACATCTTTAATCCCAGTGCTCAAGAGGTAGAGACAGGTGGATCTCTGTGAGTTCGAGGCCAGCCTGGTCTGCAGAGCGAGTTCCAGGGCAGGCTCCAAAGCTACACAGAGAAACTCAGTCTCAAAATAAATAAATAAGCAAACAAACAAACAAATAATCACACGTCTTAACCCACAGCACAGTGTGCCTATTGTTGATGCTGAGTAAGGGTGTTGCTGTTACAGACCAAGGGGAACTGGAGAGAGGAAGTCAGGTGCTTGGGGATGCCAGTCTGACTGTTCTCAAATGGGTTCTTGTTTTGTTTTTGTTTTTAAAAAGAGAGAAAGATATTTCTGGACCAACAGATACTGTGCCTCAGTGGTGGTTGGAGCTCAAAGGAGCTAGCAGAGTCCACAAGCTTTTCAATCTTTCTGAAGAAGAAGACATCCCCAAATGTTTTCAGAAAGCCCTTAAACAGAAAAGATAAGAAGCCTAGAACCAAAACACCCATGATTCAGCATCTTGTTACTCCACATTGTTCTGAAGAAACAGTGCACTAAGAAAATGAGCAGGGGCTGGAGAGATGGCTCAGGAGTTAAGAGCACTGACTGCTCTTCCAGAGGACCTGGGTTCAATTCCCAGCACCTGCATAGCAGTTCACTACTGTCTATAACTCCTATTCCAGGGGCTCTGACACCTTCACACCAATGGAAATTAAATGAATATTTAAAAAAGAAAAGAAAATGAGGAGGCTGTAGATATGTTCAACTTTTGGCCAAGAGTCTGAAAGAAGCCAAAGAAAAATGCCAGAAACACATGTAGGCTGTCCTCGCTGAGAGTGTCTACTTCTAAATCTTAGTCCAGTCAAAAATAAGTCTTTTTTTGTTTGTTTGTTTTTTGTTTTCTCTGTGTAGCTTTGTGCCTTTCTTGGAACTCACTTGGTAGTCCAGGCTGGCCTCGAACTCACAGAGATCCACCACTGCCTGGCTCAAAAATAAGTCTTTAAGACTAATAAATAAAGCCGGGCATGGTGGGTTGCACCTTTAATCCCAGCACTCGGGAGGCAGAGACAGGCAGATCTCAGCAAGTTCAAGGCCAGCCTGGTCTACAAAACAAGTTCCAGAATAGTAAGGGTTGTTACATAGACAAACCCAGTCTTTTTTTTTTTTTTTTTTAAGATTTATTTATTATGTATACAGTGTCTTGTTTGCATGTATCCCTGCAGGCCAGAAGAGGGATCAGATCTCATTACAGATGGTTGTGAGCCACCATATGGGTGCTGGGAATTGAACTCAGGACCTCTGGAAGAACAACCAGTGTTCTTAACCTCTAAGCCATCTCTCTAGTCCCAAAAACCCAGTCTTAAAAAAAAAAAAAAAAAGGAACAAATACATAGTCAGAAAGAAAAAAGAAAGTGCTGTGGGATGTTCTGTATGGCAAATGTGTTGCTCTGATTGGTCAATAAATAAAACACTGATTGGCCAGTAGTCAGGCAGGAGGAAGTATAGGCGGGGCAAGGAGAAGAATTCTGGGAAGTGGAAGGCTGAGTCAGAGACACTGCCAGAACAAGCAGCATGTGAAGATGCCAGTAAGCCACAAGCCACGTGGCAAGGTATAGATTTATGGAAATGGATTAATTTAAGCTATAAGAACAGTTAGAAAGAAGCCTGCCACGGCCATACAGTTTGTAAGCAATATAAGTCTCTGTGTTTACTTGGTCGGGTCTGAGCAGCTGTGGGACTGGTGGGTGACAAAGATTTGTCCTGACTGTGGGCAAGGCAGGAAAACTCTAGCTACAAAGGACGGAAGGCAAGCTATCTAATACATTCATTTGTTCCACCAAGCTGGACTTATCAGAATCTTTTTTCTGTCTATCCAGATCCTCTTTACTTGGGGTGAACACCCAACAACTCCCTCTTGTAAAATAACAATTCAGAGTCACACGGAATTATCTTAATTCCTTCTGAGGGTGGCAGCAGCACCGCTTCCTTAATGACATAACAATATACCACTAGATGGTCCCATGTCTAAAATAATTTATTTTTATTTTATTTGCATTGGTGTTTTGCCTGCATGTATGTCTGTGTGAAGGTGTCAAATCTTGGAGTTACAGACAGTTGTGAGCTGCCATGTGGGTGCTAGGGTCCTTTGGAAGAGCAGCCAGTTATGGTGATATTTTATTTGTACTGAAATGTGATTTTATTTGTATGTTAATAAATAAAGTTGCCTGGGGGGTCAGAGCTAATAGCAAGCCATAGCAGAGCTGGGCATTCGTGGTGCACACCTTTAATCCCAGCACTTGGTAGGCAGAGCTAGGTAGATCTCTGTGTGGTCAAGGATACAGCCAGCATTGGAGACACAGGCCTTTAATCTCAGTACCAACCATAGAAGACCTGGAGGTCTGTATAGATGGGCAGTGATGAGGAGGTCATGTGGTTGGGTTTACAACCAATGAGAAGGCAGAACAGAAAGTCTATATAAAGACAAACACTCAGGAAGTAGGTCTCTTTTTTGCTGAAGAGGCTAGCTGCAGCAGACGGGTAAGGCTCTTATCTCTGATCTCTTGGCTTTCTTCTTTGCATTGGCTCTGTGTTTCTTATTTAATATGACAGTTGGTTACATCTACAGCCAGTGATCTCAACTGCTGAGCCATCTCTCCAGCTCCATCTTTTTTTTTTTTCTTTAAGATTTAATTATTTAGCCAGGTGGTGGTGGCACATGCCTTTAATCCCAGCACTCAGGAGGCAGAGCCAGGCAGATTTCTGTGAGTTTGAGGCCAGCCTGGTCTACAGAGCGAGATCCAGGATAGGCACCAAAACTACACAGAGTAACCCTGTCTCAAAAAAACAAAAAACCAAACCAAACCAAAACAACAACTTATGTATGCAATGTTCTGCCTGCATGTATGCCTGCAGGCCAGAAGAGGGCACCAGATCTCATTACAGATGGTTGTGAGCCACCATGTGGTAGCTGGGAGTTGAACTCAGGAGCTCAGGAAGAGCAGCCAGTGCTCTTAACTTCTGAGCCATCTCTCCAATTCCAGTCTTTTTTTTTTTTAAACACTTATTTATTTAATAAAGACATGCATGCCACAGTGCACATATGTCGAGGTCAGAGGACAACTTTCAAGACTTAGTTCTCAGGCTGGAAAGATGACTCAGTGGACCTTGCAAAGGACCCAATTTTGATTCCCAGCACACACATGCTGGCTCAAATCAGTCTGTAACTCTGGTTCCAGGGGATCTGGAACCAGATCAAAAAAAAAAAAAAAGAAAGAAAGAAAGAAAATATTAAAAAATGTAAAAACTTGGAAACAAGAGTAGGATTTGTCTGTTTTTTTCTGGGTGCCAGGGCAGCAGCCATTACTCCAGTTTGATGAGCGATTGCTTTAGGTTTTAAATTCTTAGAGGTCTGGACATCCCTTCAATCTGCCCAGCATCTCCACTTGGACTGTCTGTTCCCCAGTGAACAGAAGAAACATTTCCCAAACAGTCTGACAGCGTTTGTTATTATCAGTTCACCCAAGTCTTTCTAGAACCTCTTGTGAGGTAGGGTTTATTTTTTTTTTTTTAACTGTTCAGCTTGTTCTACAGCTGCCCAGTCATGGAAACCCTGGCTAAGAACAAGCAAGACACCTGAAAGGCCTCCCCACTTCCACAGATGCTTACCTGTGTGAAGACTGGACTGCAGAGGCCTTAGCAGGCCTTGGATTCACTCCTACACTCTCCACAGACTCTGCCTTCCAAGTTGCCTCCTGCCAACTACAAACCTGAACTCTTGGAGCCTCTGATGCTGGCTGGGTTTGCCCCCAGGAGATGGGAGACAGAAGGATTGGGTGCAGAGAAAAGAGAGAATTCCCTCCAGGCCTCCCTTCCTGTTCAGCCACAGCCAAGGTCATCTCGGGCAGGCCACAGCTGTCAGGTAGCACCACTGTATCTTCCTATGAAGAGCACTAACCCCCCCCCTCCGCTGCTAGGGTCCTGGAGTGCCACCCTCCTTGGGGAGACTCCCTAACACCGCCCACACATCTGTACGCCAGCTTTCATTATCAAACTGTCCTCATTTTCCCTATTTGAGCATGTCGTCCGATTCCTTTTTTAAAAGTTTTTTGAAATAAATCTTTTCAAGATTTATTTATGTATTTATTTAGTATCTGTGCATGTGCAGTCTTCATGTACGCCTGGAGGGGGTCAGATCTCATACAGGTGGTTATGAGCCACCATATTGTTGTGTGATACTTTGTGTTCTGACAAAGCTCACTTGGAGTCAGAGGGCGGAGCTAGCCACTAGCTGACCATAGAGGTTTGGAGGACTGTAGTGCTGTGGGATGTTCTGTATGGCAAATGTGTTGCTCTGATTGGTCAATAAATAAAACACTGATTGGCCCGTGGCTAGGTAGGAAGTATAGGCGGGACTAACAGAGAGGAGAAAAGAGAGAACAGGAAGGCAGAAGGAGACACTGCAGCCACCGCCAGGACAAGCAGCATGTAAAGATGCCGGTAAGCCATGAGCCACATGGCAAGGTATAGATCTATGGAAATGGATTAATTTAAGCTATAAGAACAGTTAGCAAGAAGCCTGCCACACCGGGCGGTGGTGGCGCACGCCTTTAATCCCAGCACTCGGGAGGCAGAGCCAGGCGGATCTCTGTGAGTTCGAGGCCAGCCTGGGCTACCAAGTGAGTTCCAGGAAAGGCGCAAAGCTACACAGAGAGACCCTGTCTCGAAAAACCAAAAAAAAAAAAAAAGAAGAAGAAGAAGCCTGCCACGGCCATACAGTTTGTAAGCAATATAAGTCTCTGTGTTTACTTGGTTGGGTCTGAGCAGCTGTGGGAGTGGTGGGTGACAGAGATTTGACCTGACTGTGGGCCAGGCAGGAAGATTCTAGCTACGCTGTAGACAGAGAGGAGACAGGAAGTAGTAAGGTGGGGCTGAGAGAGGATCTTGGCCCTTTTGGATGGAGGAAGGGAAGAGGTAGGAAGCAACTGGCGGCTTCTCCCTGTTCTCTGATCTTTCAGGTTCTTACCCCAATATTTGACTCCCAATTTTTTTTTTTTAAAGATATATTTATTTATTATGTATACAGTGTTCTGCCTGCACATATCTCTGCAGGCCAGAAGAGGGCACCAGATCTCATTACAGATGGTTGTGAGCCACCATGTGGTTGCTGGGAATTGAACTCAGGACCTCTTGAAGAGCAGTCAGTGCTCTTAACCTCTGAGCCATCTCTCCAGCCCTTGACTCCCAATTTTTTATTGATAAAGATTAATTAGATTTATGCTTAATCTGCCATCCAACTTTTGGGGCACAAATTCGTGAAACAGCTGCTTGCCCTTGGCTTTGCAGCCTCCGGTACCAGCACACAGGAGCTGCACCTACCAGAAACACTGCACAGCAGGCTGGCTTTCCCTTTTCTTCCCCAAGCCCTCTGAGCAGTCTGGGATTTTCCTCTTGCAGCCCCTCTACAGCAATCTGCACAAGCCCAGACTCCACGGGCCCCTGGGCTCCATACCCGCTGGTGTTAGCCCCTCACCACCCGCCAGCTCTGCCTTCAGGCAGCTCTGTGCTTTCACCTCCCCGCCAGTCACACGTGCTGCTTTCCACGGTCCCCTGTGTCTGCCTTTCAGACGGCTGGCTCTTTGGCTCCTTTCCCCTGTGGGTTGTGGGCTTTCCCTGGATCCCTTCCCCAGGTTGCTGATGCATGATCAATGGCAGCTGTCCTCTGCCAGGCTGTGCACTACCTATGTTCTCTACCCAGAGGTGCTACGCATCAAAAGCTAGCCTCACACTTTACTGTCATCATCGGCAGATTTGGTGAGATAATTGGGACTTATTAAAGGGGAGGATTAGTTAAAAAAGAGAGAGAGAGTTTTTTCCCACATTAAAAAATGGGAAAAACTATTATGATGGTTATTATTATTATAACTATTATTATT